TAGGAAGGAGCCCTGGTGACGCAGTGGTTAGAGCACCTGTCTGCTAACAGAAAGGTTGGTGGTTCAAACCCACCAGCCACTCTGCAGGAGAAAGATGTGGCAGTCTGCTTGCATAAAGATTTACAGCCTTGGAAATCCTGTGGGGCAGTTCTACTCTGTCCTATAGGGTCACTATGAGTCGGAATCCACTCGACAGCACTGAGTTTGGTTTTGGTTTTGGTTTTGGAGAGGTAGGAAGATGCTTAGAAATTATTGAATCCAATCCCACATTTTCCTGAGCCACTGTCAGCTGTGTACTCACACAGAACAGGAAGGGGACTGGAAGAATTGTTATGGTGAATACTATCATTTTCAAACTATGCTCTGGCAGGTTTCACATCTCACTTTGAACATGTCTAAGAATGATTTGAGATGCTTGACGTATATGGCAGGCACAGTCAGTTGCCTCCCCCGTAGCCGTTCTTCTTTCCATTCCCTTCTTCATGCTCATAGCACCCAAATGTGTTTAGTCTGTAATGAGCCCAGATCCACTAGGTCAATCATGATAGGTCTAAGCCAGTCACAGTCATTCTCTTATGCTGTATCAGTCAGCCTGTGACCTAGTCCTTACCAGTCCCTTACTTATATATCTCTAGGGCACAATCTTCTCTTAAGCTCTGGGTGGGAATCAGGAATTTTTTTTTTAATATCATGGGAAAAAAAAAACACAGTTGCCATCAAATTGATTCCAACTCATGGTGACCCCATGTGTGTCAGTAGAACTGTGCTCCATAGGGTTTTCCATGACTGATCTTTTAGAAGTAGATCACCAGGCCTTTCTTCCAAAGCACCTCTGGGTAGACTTGACCCTCCAGCCTTTTGGCTAGCAGCGCAGCGTGTTAACGTTTTGCAGTACCAAGAAATTCCTTAACATTGTGTGACTGTAACTGTGAAACCAAGGGTGCGAACTACAGTTGTAGCATATTCTACACAGATAAATTCTCAATGCTTACCTCTTAGCTGAAAAAGTAAATAAAACATTGAGAGGATTTAATTGTATGTAAAGATACTTTCCTTATGGATTTTTTTCCTAACAAAATAGTTTACTAATAAATTTTTGGATTTCAACACACTCTATTTACAGTTGACTAAATGAAACTGGATGTGTTTACTGCATTGAAACCCTGTAAAACAACAACAAAAAGTCCTGCTGCTTTGAGTTTTGTAGCCTGTGAAAATGTCAAAAGATTTGGCATCAAATCCTCATTTTAAAAGAATGCCTTGAAGTACTAATTGGATATTCAGTAAGCTTCTGAAAAATTCCAACCCACCTTGAGGAGGCTTTGCAGTTAGCCTAAGAAACATTTTCCAAGTCATGAAGAAGCCCTCATGTGGAACTGCCTCCTCACCATCCCTGCCACGGGCCACTGCCGGCTGCCGTTTGGCTGCCAGAGCGCGGGGCCTCCTGCTTGTTAGAGCTCGCTGCTCCTTGTTCTTTCTCTCCTGCTCACTACTATTTTGGGCCCAGGCTATTTTGGAGTACAAGGTGCCTCATCGCTTCCTCCAGTCTGGAACAGGCATATCTGTAATTTGAATAGGCAGCTGCTGCGTTCTTATTTATGTTTGCGAAAACCAATGTTACATAGGCCACTACTGTGTATCAAAAGCTGAATAAGGCACAATCCCAACTCTCAAGGAGCTTAGATCCTGTTTGTTAAGTATCAGTATGCAGAAAAATGATATATGTTCTTAAGGTCAGAAAATTGATGTGCAGTGGTTCTGGGTGGTGCAGACAGTTAAGCGCTCAACTACTAACTGGAAGGTTGGTGGTTTCAACCCATCCAGAGGCACCTCAGAAGAAAAGCCTGGCAATCTGCTTCTGAAAGGTCACAGTCTTGAAAACCCTATGGAGAAGTACTACTCTGACACACATGGGTTCATCAAGAGGTGGAATCGACTCGGTGACAACTATTTTACTATTTCTTTCTTTCTTGTTTTGGTCTGAGATGAGCCTTCCCATCTTAGATCATTCTTACATGTGGCAGCCCATCCTCTTCAAACTGATATTCAGCAGATATATATTGTCTGCCTCACCACCTGCTCCTCCCTGTATTGTTTTGTGACTTTTCTGATTGGTAGGTGGTAGGTACTAGCCATACATTGTTTAGTATTTTGAATATCATCCCTGCTCTTAGAACTTGTATTTCACTTGAATGACCGTCACCCTTGTTGAGCATTTTGCTGTTCAGTCTCTTTTTCATGTATGCCAGCAGCTAACTGAATTAATGAAGGGGGGTTTGTGCTTTGTGTGGTTGTTGTTTATTTATTGGTTGGCTAGTGTTTGATTTAATTTCCCCACATGATTGGCACAAACAGTTAAATTGGCAAAAATAAACAAACAAACAAGAAACCAAATCCATTGTCATTGAGTCGATTCATGGTGACCCCATGTGGTGCAGAGTAGAGCTGCTCCATAGAGTTTTCATGGCTGTGATCTTTACAGAAGCAGATTGCCAAGCCTTTCTTCCACAGAGCTGCTGGATAAATTCGAAACCACTAACCTTTACGTTAGAAGCCAATCCAAACTACCTGTGCCACCCATGTACCTCCCTTTGGCAATTAGTTGGTACAAAATAAATATTTGTTGTTTGGCTAGGAGGCTCAAAGTATCAATAGGAGTAGGGCCTCCCCTGAATGGTGTGTTAATGTGGGCAGCAGACTCAGGAGGGATGCTGTCTGAATATGATGAACTGCTGCAGAGAAAACAGAAGCCACACACCATGCAGAATTTACAACACTCTCTTCACTGAACCTAGAGATTCCAGTTTATTCTAATGCCTAACATCACAACTGTGAACCACTGCCCCAGATGGTAGCTGCCAGCTCCTGGGTAAGAGCAAATGTCTCCTCACTTTGGCAGACAGCTTATTAGCATGTCTCTGGGGCACACATTTCACTAGGAAATCTTTTCCAAGAACTAGTTATTTATACTTATTTATCTATTTCTCAGCCATATATAATTCTCTATTCTCTTGAAATGCCTAACTGCCACTCAGGGATAGATTCGAAAATATACTATCATTATGCTGCTTAAGTAGTGTTTCACATTGGTCGTTTGTTGTGTTGATCGATGTGGGCCACACTTTGCAAACATAGTAGTGCCATTTAATTTGTTTAAATATATTAATACCAATATTCCATAGTGTTCCAGAGTTACAGATGGAAATATTGCAGTCAGAAAGTGTAGCAAGTGATGGGAAGAAAGCTGAAGAGCAAAGAGCTGCTAGTGAGTTCACTCACTGATAAGTATTTAATGAGTCAGAGAGGGCTAGATAAGTAGGTGTCTGTGTAACCAAATGACTCCCTCTTTTGCCAGCTCTTAATAGAGTCATACATCCCCATTCAGGAGTCACATAAAAGCCAGCCTCACCAGCCCCTGTCACAATTGCTGAGGCAGCCAGCTCCTTTCTTCCCGAGTCTATCAGTGTCTCTTCTCATCTCCCCAGGTCTTTGTTTCCCACTATGACACTTCAGTTCGATATTTGCACCTAGTCAGCCCTTCCCACTTTGACAGCCATTTGGCCTGTTTTCTCTGCCTTACTTTCTCCCACTTCTCCCCGGTTTCAGCACACCTACTGCCTGGAGACAGAGGGCGATAGAGCCATGTCTTTTGCCAGCCTCTGCCTGGCGGGAGCCGAACACCTGGCTACTGCACATGTTCCCTACCTAGCCTGTCATGGATTGAATTGTGTCCCCCAGAAATATCTGTCAACTTGGCTGGGTCATGATTCCCAGTATTGTATGATTGCATAATCTGATGTGATTTCCTTATGTGTTGTAAACTCCATCACTATGATGAGGTTTTATGTGATCTTCGTATGTGTTGTAAATTCTGTCACTGTGATGAAGTTATACTGATGAGGTTTACAAGATTAGATAGTGTCTTAATCCAGTCTCTTTTGAGATATAAAAGAGAGAAGTAAGCAGAGACACAGGGGAACCTCATATCACCAAGAAAGCAGTGCCGGGAGCAGAACGGGTCCTTTGGACCTGAGGTTCCTGCGCTGAGATGCTCCCAGACCAAGGGAAGACTGATGCATCATAAGGACCTTCCAGACCAAAGGAAGGCTGATGACACGGACCTTCCTCCAGAGCCAGTGCCCTAAATTTGGATTTGTAGCCTACTGGATTGTGAGAGAATAAACTTCTCTTTGTTAAAACTTGTGCTATTTCTGTTAGAGCAGCACTAGATGACTGAGACATAGCCTTTTCATCAGGAGAGGAGGATTGGGTGAAGTCAACTTTTTTTTTTCATCAGGAGAGGAGGATTGGGTGAAGTCAAC